ATGTATGTATGTATGTAAGTAAAAATAAGTGTTTGCACACAAGCAGGTGCCTGTGGAGTCTAAAAGACAGGATGAAATCCCTTACAGAAAGTTGTTTTGGAAACCAAAGTGTAGTGTGCGTTCTCAACAAGCAGGCCGTCTCTCCCAACTCCCAAAAAATCTTTCATTTTCCCAGGTCAAAGGTGGTATTGAAACATATCTCAATTGTTTCAGCATAACAAAAATGAAAGACAGAGAGCTAAAAACAGTCATATTTGTATGGAATCTAGAATGCAGAGGGAATTTGATTTTAAAGAATTGTTTATTTTATGTAGTACACTGTCACTATTTTCAGACACACCAGAAGAGGGCATCAGATCCCATTACAGATGGTTGTGAGCCACCATGTGGTCGCTGGGAATGGAACTCAGGATGTCTGGAAGAGCAGCCAGTGCTCTTAACCGCTGAGCCATCTCTCCAGCCCCTGATCTAGCACTTATAATGTGTACCACAAGCATGCAGTGTCCTCAGAGACCAGAAGAAAGCGTCATCTCCTGGAACTACAGTTAAAGTTATAAGTCATCCTAAACCAAACCTGAGTCTTTTTGGAGACCAACAAATACTCTGAACTGCTGAGCTATCTTTCCAACCCTGTATTTTACCTAAGTTTATTTCTTTCAAAGGTCAAGGTCACGGAGGCATTCTCATAGACGCTACACTCGATCCAGGTCACATTCTCATAGGAGACGATCTCGGAGTAGGTCCTATACACCAGAGTATAGGCGGCGGAGGAGCCGGAGTCACTCTCCAATGTCTAATCGCAGAAGACACACTGGCAGCAGGGTATGTGTGTAAGAGTTCATGGAGATTTGGTTTTCTCTCTCCTGGTTATGTGGTCATGGCTTTTTTTTAAACTTGCTTTTATGAGGTTTCTGACCTTTGTACAATCTTATTTAGGCCTAGAATGTTTTCAGCCTGAGACTTGCTGCTGAATAAGCTCACCCCTTCCTAGTTCTTTCTGGCTTCTAGGCTAAAAAAATAAAAACTCCTCCACACTGATTCAAACTGGCTTCTTTGTTTTGTTTGTTTGTTTGTCTTTACTGTTTTGTTTTTGTTTTTTTCCAGACAGGGTTTCTCTTTATAGGCCTGGCTGTCCTGGAACTCACTCTGTAGACCAGGCTCAAGAAATTCGCCTGCACCGGGCTGTGGTGGCACACGTCTTTAATCCCAGCACTTGGGAGGCGGAGGCAGGTGGATTTCTGAGTTCGAGGCCAGCCTGGTCTACAGAGTGAGTTCCAGGACAGCCAGGGCTACAAAGAGAAACCCTGTCTCGAAAAAAAAGAAAAAGAAATCCGCCTGCCTCCGCCTCCCAAGTGCTGGGATCAAAGGCATGTGCCACCACTGCCCAGCCCTCAAACTGAATTGGTTTGCTTGGCCTCATTCTAACTTTGGCAATATGTTTTAATCTTCTGCCTTCTCATTCTGTCTAGCTTGTTCTCTTTCTGCAACCTATATGTGTAACTGCCTGCTCTCTGTGCTGATCTCTCTTAAGTAGTTTTCCTTTCTGTTCTCTTCTGCTAACATGTGTATTCTTAACATCTATGTGACAGGTTGTTTGGATGTGAGACACTGAAGTGTTTTGTTTAGATTCAATAGTTGGCTTAGGGGCAGCAAGACAGCCCAGTAAGTGGATCAGGGGACTTGGCTGTCAGGCCTGATGGGAGTTTAACGCTAAATCTACATTGTATACATTGGTATCCTGAATAGCACAAGTGTGTCCATAGGTGCACACAGATGTAAATCTGTTTTTTAAAGAATAGGTAACAGAGTCCAGGTTTCAACCAGGTTGCTTTACTTTAAAGTTCTTATCTGGTGTGCTTCTACATGATGCCAGAGGTGCTGACAACCATGATAGACTGTGTGTCAGTATTTAATAATCCACGTCTGGATCCTGGTAACACTCAAAGGATATCCTGCTACTGAATGAAAATGTTCATTGGAGATACAGCTTAGTGGCTAAGAGCACTAAAGTGCTTTGCCTTAGGAGCAGAGTTGGGATCCATTGTCCCATCTGCCCTCTGGACATGCACATGGACAGATACATGGAAGAAAGGGGTGATTTTTTTTTTTTAAATGTGTTTGTGAGTGCCTTCTTTATTTATATGCACCATGTTTGCCTGGGGAGGTCAGAAGGTGTTGGACCCCCTGAAAGTAGAATTCTAGGTGGTTACAAGCCACCCTCTGGGTGCTGGAGACTGAACTGGGGTGCCCCTGCAAGAGCAGAAGTACCTTTAACCATCTCTTTAGCCATCTCTTTGGCTCCTAAGATCTTTGAAGGGATGAAAGTTGAGGGCTGGGAATGTAACTGAACTGGAAGAGTGTTTGCCTGTTTTGCAGGAGGCCCTGGGTTCAACCTTCAGCACCACATAATGTTGGGTGTGTGGTGCATGGCTAATTCCAGCACTGAGGTCACTGGTAAGAGTGAAAACTAGTCAGATAAGTAGTGAAGGATTAGACATGGGAAAGGTGAATTCTTTGGGTACATTCTGAAAATTGCTGGGCTAGACAGGCTATAGATCACTATAAATTCATTATAAAGTATATTCCAAAAAAGATCTTCATGTATATATTGAGTTCTAATTAAAATTTAATTCCTCCTTTATTCAACAGGCAAACCCAGATCCTAACACTTGCCTGGGAGTATTTGGCCTCAGTTTATATACAACAGAGAGAGATCTTCGTGAAGTGTTTTCTCGATATGGACCTCTGAGTGGTGTTAATGTGGTTTATGATCAGCGAACTGGGAGGTCACGTGGATTTGCTTTTGTGTATTTTGAGAGGATAGATGACTCTAAGGAGGTAAATCTGGTTTTACAATTTTTATTTAAAAGAATTTTTGGTATGCATAATGATACAGTATTACTAGCACTATGTGATTTCTAATTGGTAATAGCATTACTGTCAGAGTAATTTATTAGAGTAATAATTGATGTACATTTCTATAAACATGCCTTCTGATTCTATGACCTGATTGGAACTCTCCCACAGTGTCTCGGTTAAAAAATCAGTTTTAATTACATGCTGATTGAAATCTGACCTTATGAAGTGAATTATACAAGTTAATGCTAAAAACTACAGTGTGTATAAGTGTTCTTTTTTAAAAAAAAAAATAAACCCATATTCATGTTTAAATTAATTTTAGTCTAATTCCCCATGTACAAATGCAGAAGTGAGTTTTCTAATTTTTTAATATACTTGTTATTCTATTCTGTAATTCAAACATAAATTGATATAGATCATAATAAAAATTGGTGTCTACTTCAAAAATAGTACCCTATAATAGCATTTGGGGCTGAGTGGATATTTATCGTGGTGGCGTGGTGGCACATGTCATATATATGTATAATGCTGAGAGCCGAGGATGAAAGGACACGGGGATGAATCCTGTAGTGTAGTGGGGGACCCCAGACCATAGACTCAGTAAGCCCAGATCTTAGAGGTACTGAAGGTAAGAAATTAGATGATTTTTAAGTTTGTAATTTTTTTTAATCTAATAGGCACGCTGATTTCTCAGTTATCAGAACATTTTTATTTTTTATTAGTATATGTTGGGGCTTACTTATTCCTGTTTTGTTTGTTTGTTTGTTTGTTTGTTTTAAGTTACTTTATTTCAGTTAGGATATGAGCTAGGCTTGGTATATAGTATGACTAAACCCCACCACTTGGGAGGTAATTATCAACAGAAGCAGATGTAGGTGGGTGGGTGGGTAGAGGATGGGTACAGCCATCCATCTAGGCAGGTAGAATAGGGACAAAAAAGGAAGAAAAGAATTACTATCATTGCATTCCTCCAAGCTCCACTTTCAATGGGAAAAGCTGAAACAGACAGGCTATGTTCCTTTACACTTGGCAATCCCTAGGAGGCAGTATTGGCTTAGACTTGTTAATTCTGAACAAAGGAGTACAAACTATTACAATTGTTGCGTCCCTTTAAATCATCACTTTTTGGGTACCTAGTTTTACTAACAAATATTGAAGTACAAACTAAAGAGCAAGAATAGAGGTAGGTTAGGGTGGGCACGGCAGTGCATACCTGTAATTCCAGTACAAGGCAGAAGGACTGCTCTAATTCCCAAGCTGTGTGTGGTAACATTGATAACCTGGTCTTAGGTGGTCAGCTGAGGTTATAATAAACAAAAGTTTAAAGGTTAAACTTAGTTCACTGCTCTGAATATCTGAGATGTTTGTAAGTGAAGCAGAGCTTAGTGGCTTTATGTCTGGGCAACTTAAGTAGGTTCTGAACAGTACCAAGCTCTGGAAATACCAACGGTCCCTATACAAGCTGCATTACTGTGCTATTTTCCAAGGTAGATTTATTTGGATTATAAATACTTCATGCTTAATTTTAGCTAAAAATGGCTTCAAGATTAGTGAATTATGAATTGTTTTTTTTTTTTTTCTCTTGTAGGCTATGGAAAGAGCAAATGGGATGGAGCTGGATGGTAGAAGAATTCGTGTGGATTATTCTATCACCAAGAGAGCCCACACACCTACCCCAGGCATTTACATGGGCAGACCAACTCAGTAAGATTTTGGATTTTACAGGGATAGAGTACTTAACTAGCATGTTTAGGGCTTGGGTGTAGGTCCCAGACTGCAAAGCAAATAAAGCCAGTTTATCTAAGACTAAGCTACTCTCTAGAAGTGGAATAATTTCAAAATTTGACTAGGAAATTGAAAACATATCTACATTCTCCTCCCTTCTGTATCATTTTATTTTTACCAGTATATATTCATTTTCGGGGACTGGAAAGGTGGCTCATCATTAAAAACATTTGCTGTCCCACAGAGGACCCAAATTAGGACATACTTAATTACATTTATTTCATGCATATACCTCAAGTGAGCGAAATCTGTGTGTGTTCTTTGCTGGGCACAGTGGTTTGGCTCCAATCCTTGTAAAGAATACAAAGGAGGCAGAAGCAGGGGGTAAAAGACCTGCAGAAAACCAGACTTGAAGCAGTATCCCTTATTTAGAACACAGGAAGGAAGAGGGCTTAACTTAAATTCACCCCCAAAGGTTGTCACACCTTAGATCCTGACATAGTATTAGTGGAGTCATTCTCTCTGATGTTTAGAGTTAGTTTAGTTAAACTTCTATATATTTAATCTTTTTTTAAAAAATACTTATTTTTCTTAAAACCAGAAAAAAGAATATTTCTTTTAGGGAGAGGGCATATATGGCTTGTAGAATTTTGTGGTAGCCATCCATGTAGGTTCCATAGCTAGAACTCAGACTTGTTAGCCTTGGTAGCAAGTGCCTTTACCCACTGGCCCATCTTTCCAGCCTCTATATTTGCTATGTTTTCATTGCCTTTTGGGTATTCTTAGGCATGGTTTATAGTTTTAGCACTTACTTTGTACTTTCCATCCTGTTATTTATTGTCTAATTTCAGTCTTCTTTCTTTTAAAAGACACTGTCTACAGAGCCTTGGTTATCCTAGAACTCTTTGTAGACTGGCTTGTCCTCTTGCCTCTGCACTTCTAAGTGCTGTGACTAAAGTTTTGTTTTTAAATATGTGTTGGGGAGGGTATACATGAGCACATTGAATACTGTTGGAGGCTGAAAAATGGTGTCAGCTCCCCTGGAGCTAGAGTGGCAGGCTGTTGTGAGCCTCTTAAGTGAGTGCTCAGGTACTCTTAACTGCTGAGCCATCTCTTCAGAGTTCTGTGAAAGCATTAGGAGCCAGAGCAGAGCACCATGGGCATTGGCAAAGTGAGATGTGTGAGGGCATTTGATTGTGGGGGAGGTTACTTCTCAAGTACAAACTTGTCCCAGCAGTTTGTATTAGATGATCCGGATAATAACCTACCTTTCCTCTTTTTTCTGTAGTAGCGGTGGTGGAGGTGGTGGAGGAGGAGGTGGTGGTGGCGGCGGAGGAGGAGGTGGTAGACGACGAGATTCTTACTACGATAGAGGATATGATCGAGGCTATGACAGATATGAAGATTATGATTACCGGTACAGGTAATGTTTTAATTTGGGATATCTATACTTTGTAAAATAGTAGTATATTTAGCACTTTAATGTTGAGTATGTATGAATAAAAACTGGATGTTTGAGCTGGATATGGTAGCTGGGTAGTGCCAGTTGTTTGAGAGACAAAGATGGATCATTTAAGCCTGACCTGGTTGGTGATTTTATATATTTTCGGTTGGGGTAGATTTTATATATTTTCGGTTGGAGTAGATTTTAGGGCTGTTGAGTGTCACATTTTAGGGCTGTGATTCTCTAGTGTTAGGTCCTGGGCTTAATCCCTAGTACTGCTTAAAAATATGTTGAGTTTTTGTTTTGTTTGTTTGTTTGAAGACAGGGTCTCAATCATGTAGCTCTGACTGGCTTTGAACTGGCTGTGCAAACCAGCCTGGCCTCCATTAACAGATACTGTCTTCCAAGTATTGAGATTAGAAGCCTGCACTACTCTAATGGCTAGGGAGTTTTGTTTTGTTGTTTGTTTGTACTTTTCACCTGACTCTGTGGTTGTATGATGTGTTAATTCAGCTCTCGTTTCTTACAGAAGAAGGTCGCCCTCTCCTTACTACAGTCGCTACAGGTCACGATCAAGATCCCGTTCCTATAGCCCAAGTATGTAAATTTTACTTTTGTAGAATTGAAACCATCTTTCTAAGCAGTGGTTTATTTTGGGATATTTGAATATATGATCACCGTTAATAGTTGGAAAGATAATGGACAAGTCAGACTGTAATTAATTGTTTTTGTTCTGTTTCAGGACGCTATTGATACTGGAGTGATTGTCCCCAAGAACTTTGCTTTTCTTCTTTTTGATTTTGGATTTCCAAGCTTCCATGCTTCCTAGTCCTTTAAAAAACAAAACAAAAAAAAATGGTTTATTTAATCTCTGTGTGGCCAGTTGTGTCTCTTTCCACCTTCGTTATACTCGAAAGGTGTGTGATTGTCTTCAGTAGTTGAACATCTTGAGTAGAAGGGAGGGAGCGCTGTGTTATGTATGCGTTGTGGGTCTTCTTTGCCTTTACAGAGGATTCACTTCTTACTATGAGGACAGAAACCATCTTTTGAAAGCTTTTTCTGATGGAAATTGTAGTAGACATTAGAAATCTGTGGTTATGACAAACTGCCTTTTAATCTTCTTTGGGGGAAGACAAATAACACTTTCAGTAGGTCAGTCATGTCAGGTGTGTCTGGAGTGGCATGGAACAGTTGAATAGTTCAGTGTAGAAGCCCTAGGAGAAAAGGTGGGACATTTCTTTTGAATAATATAACTTTGAACCTAAAAATTAAGTCACCTTTTAGAAATTAAAAGCTTGTAATTCCTATAAGATATGTTGTATTTGAATTTACATGTTAAACCTTATAAACTTAAAGTGTGATTTTTATGTTGAATTTACGGAAACTTAAGTATTCCCTTAATCACTGAAGGACAACCTTTATTTATTACCTAGAACAATTGTATAACTTGCTGTTAGAAATTTTGGTATTGGGACATTGGTTAAATGGGTTATTGTACTAGGATCCTAAAATACTTGTGGAAAAGAGTAATTTCAAATAAAAGTTAATTTGAAAATGAGATTGTCTGTTTGATAACAGTGGGAAATATAACTGGATTAAAAGCCGTTTTTGTTTTGTGCGTATGAGTGTTCCTGCATGTATGTCTGTAGTGTGTACATACAGTGCCTGCCTTGGGGGCTAGAAAAGGGTGTCTTATCACTTGAACTGTGAGTTGGAGCCACCATGTGGGTGCTTGGCAGTAGAATGGGGTCTCTGGAAGAGCAAGTGCTGTCTGTCTCCAGCTCAGTAGAAAACAGTTTTAAATTTTCCTCACATTCTTGCATTTGCAATATGTTATATAAAATTTTGCCCATCTTGAGTTAACTTACTAATTTCCCCCACAGTTTCCTAATACTTTGTGTATATACATGCACCAGTCCTTTTTCCTTTAATCTTAAAACCTGTGTGGAATGTAAGCCAGAAGTATGAAATAGAGGCAAGGATCATGTGATCAGAATTTTATAAACCTGTGGAATTAAAGTTTATTCCAGCACATGGAGGCAGAGATGGGTGAGTTGTTTTTTGTTTTTTGTTTTTTTTTGAAACTAGCCTGGTCTACTAGTTCTAGCACAACATAAACCCTATCTCAAAAATAAATAAGGAATCCTATTGTGTACAGTGGTACAGAACTCTAGAGACAGAAATCACCTTGAGCCCAAGTTTGTGCCAATCTTGAAGGACTATGGAGTCAGACCCAGCCAGTGAGGAAAAGACCTGCATTAGAACAGAAACCAAGTAAACATCCTTCCAAAGTTTGTTTGCTAGTTTGGCTTGAGTTCTGGTGTATCCTTTTTATAAAAATTGCTTTGCAAGCTACTCTCCATTTATTGGTGTGTTCTTTATGTAGCACTGAGATTATTTGTTGCTGAACATCCTTGAGCATTTTCTTGACCAGTTATTGGTGTGAGAGGAGGGTTCCCACTGTAGGGAGGTGGTAGGAACCAAACTCATAGTTTTTGTGACCCTAGCCTTTAACAGCTGAGGCATCTCTCCAGCCCTTATACCTGGATCTTAGTTATAAAGTATAGGATAACCATGCTACAAAACAGACCCAGAGAAGCCAAGTCAAAGGGAGGGCCCAAAGGGGGACACTTGAATCTCAGAAGGGGAATAGATTAGACATTGGGGTGGAGGGAGGGAGGGTGGGTACTGGGTGGGGAAAAGGGTGACATTGGGGTAGGATGGAGAGAGCTGAGTTGTGAGGGAAGTGTATCATCACTGGGGTGAGTTAGAACAAAGGAAACTAAGCCAAGGTTTAGCAATGGGGAGCTTGAACCAGCCACATAAACCAGGCAAGACTTCCAGTGGGACTGAGACACCAGCCCAGCCACAAAACCTTAGACCCAGAATTTGTACTGCCTATGTACAGGGCTATAAAATGGAACAGGATTTGAGGAAAGAACCAAAAGTGGCCCAGCTTTAGACCTATGCCATGAGGGAGCCCACCCCTGACACTGTTAGTGATACTCTCTCTGCCTTACTTACAGACAGGAACCTAGCATAACTGTCAACAGAGAGGCTTCACCCAGCGACTGATAGAAACTGATGCAGAGACCCAGAGCCAAGGAATCCCATTGAAGGGGAGGAAGGAAATAACTTGGGCCCATAGAGACCTACAAAGACTGAACTGGCAGCCAGCATGCATGCATAGGAAGGATGGAAGCCCTCTGCATTATATGTAACAATTGTGCAGCTGGGTCTTCATGTGGGATTCAACCAGGAACAGGCTGGCTGACTACATTGCCTGCCTTTGGATCCCTTTCCGCTAACTGAGCTGCCTTGTCTAGCCTTAGAAGATGTACCTAGACTTACTACAACTTGATATGCCAAGGCTGGTTGACTGACACCCATGGGATGTCCTGAGGAGAGAAAAGTTGGATTGGTTGTGTGTGTGAGAGGGAAGGAGAGAGGGGAAGCTGTGATCCGGAAGTAAATGAGAGAAACTGAACAAACCATGGGGAGCACGTCAGAATGCAGTGTTTCTCCGTGGCCTTTGTTCTAGTTCCTGCTGGCATTGCTGCTCTGACTTCCTCATGACGGATTGTGAGTATAAGCTGTTAGCTGAAATAAATGCTTCATTCTCCCAGGTTGCTTTTAGACATGGTGTTTCATCACAAGCAAAAGGAAGCAAAGTAATGGAGTATCTTGAATACATGCAGGCATTTACACTGGATAGGTACCCATGGAGGCTAGAAGAAAAGGGATTGGAATGGGTTAAAGATGCTTGGGAACCACCACATTGGTGCTAGAAACTGAACCTGGGACCTCTCACTAGCAACAAGTTCTTTTTTTTTTTTTTTTTTTTTTTTTTTTGGTCAGGGTTTCTCTGTGTAGCCCTGGCTGTCCTGGAACTCACTCTGTAGACCAGGCTGGCCTCGAACTCAGAAATCCACCTGCCTCTGCCTCCCAAGTTCTGGGATTAAAGGCGTGCGCCACCACCGCCGCCCGGCCTCAATAAGTGTTCTTAACTGATGAACTCTCCAACCCCTAGAATTTCTTTAATCACTGTAAGCAAAAAAATATGCCTGTAAATAGGATATGATCATGTATGGCTGTAGTCCCAGCCTATGAGAGGGGAGGGCAGGAGGATCAGGAGAGGCCAGCATGGGCAATGTAAGACTGCCATGCATCTTGAATTCTAGCATGTAGAAAGCAGAAAGACAAGTGGAACTTTGCATTCCAGGACAGTCAGGGCTACACAGAGAAACTTGACTTGAAAAGACAAAAATTAACTAATGAATTAATTTAATGGTTTCAGGTATTGAATCTACGTTTGCAAATGCTGGGCAAGTGTTCTACAACTAAGCAACATCCCAAACCCTTTTACTGTTTGCTGTTTTGAGACAGAACCTTGCTAAATTATAATCCTGCATCAGCCTTCCAACAGGCAATAATTCAGGCATGTGTTACAGGCCAGGCTTCTATGTTGGGTTTTTTTTTTTTTTAATTCTAGGAAATAATATGATTATTTATTAAATATTCTGTCATCTCTTTAAAATCACCTTTCATGGGCCTATAGAGAAGGCACAGTAGTTAAGAACTCTTGCTGTTCTTGTAGAGGACCCAGGTTTGGTTTCCAGCATCCACATTGTGGCTCATAACCCTCTGTAATTCCAGTTCCAAGGACTCCAATGTCCTCTTCTAGCCTCCAGAGGCCATGAAGGGGGTGCTGCTTACTGGCTTGCTCAGCTTGCTTTCTTATAGAACCTAGACCCACCAGCTCAGGGATGAAACCACAACGGGCTTGTTCCTCTGCCATCAATCACTAAGAAAAGAGCTACAGGTTAGCCTACAGTCTGATCTTATGGAGGCATTTTCTCAGTTGCAGTTCCCACCCATCTCTCTGATGACTCCTACTTGTGTCAAGTTGACATAAAACAGCACAGATGGCTCAGCAGTGAAGAGCTCTCCTAGAGCACAAGGCTTAGATTCCCAGCACCCACATGTGTAACTCACAACCATCTCTTACTTCAGGTCCAAGGGCTCTCGTGCCTCCTCTGGCCCAGTCAGGCATCAGACATGCACAGACATACGTGTGGGCAAAACACCCACAAATAAAGTATTATGAAACTAAGAAGAGGGGCTGGAGGTAGCTCAGCAGTTAAGAGCACTGACTGCTTTCCCAGAGGTCCTGAGTTCAATTCCTAGCAACCACATGGTGGCTCACAACCATCTGTAATGGGATCTGATACTCTCCGGGTGTGTCTGAAGACAGCGACAGTGTACTCACATGTATAAAATAAATACATCTTGTTTTTTTTTTTTTCCTTAGGTTTTTCTAGACAGGGTTTCTCTGTGTAGCCCTGGCTGTCCTGAAACTCACTCTGTAGACCAGGCTGGCCTCAAACTCAGAAATCCACCTGCCTCTGTCTCCCAAGTGCTGGGATTAAAGGTGTGCGCCACCACTGCCCAGCTAAACACATCTTTTTAAAAAGATGAAGTCACCTTTCAGCCAAGGCTCAAGAGTTGAGCTCTGATCTTGAAAACCCACCTGAATTGAAGTACAGTTTATTAATACAAAAGTCACTATTTAGAGCTAGCAAGACAGCTCAGCAGGTAAGGGTACTTACCACCAGGGCACCTACAAGCTGAGTTCAAGCACTGGGACCCACATGGATTCTGTTACACAGACACATGCACACACAGACACACTCGGGAGAGGGATGCATTGCGAGACTTTTTGCTGAGATTTTCTTTGCATCAGAGTCTTGCTCTGTAGCTCAGGAAATCCTGCTTCTCTGCAGGAGCGATGGCAATGCAGATGTGAGCCATCACACCCTGACCTTTTTAAATACTTCGATAAGTTTTGATGCAACACTTACAGCTGCGGTTTACATTTCTTTTAATCTACTCTGAAGGTTACATTGGCAGAAATCATTTCACATCGATTATTCTTAGAACTTCTGTAATACCCAGCATATATGAGTTAATTCTATGAATTTTAAGATCAACTGAATTGGCAAGGAAAAGAATGTTAAATTCTAAGTTAAAAAGTAAGAGTTCTTACACTGCTAGGTGACAGATACGTGCCATGAGAAAATGAACTGACCCTAAGCGGTGAGCTCATACCTGTAACGTCTGCACTCGGGAGGCAGAATTGGAAGGACTGGTGAGTTTTTGAAGCCAGCCTGAGCCTCAAAATGAGATCTTGTCTTACAAACAAAGGCAAGGGACACAGAGGACAGGGGGTTCAATTCCTGGCCCCACACGGTGCTTCAAAACTGTCTGTAGTGTCACAGGCCTTTAATCCCAGCACTCAGGAGGCAGAGGTAAGCAGGATCTCTGAGTTTGAGGCTACACAGAGCATTCCAGTACTGCCAGGGAAACACAGAAAAACTCTGTCTCAAACAACAAAGACATACCCCCCCCCTAAAAAAAAAGCCCACCACCAATAACAACAAAAAAAACCTGTCTGAAGCCCTCCTCTCAGAGGTCACCAGGCAAGGCAGCTGATGCACATTTATACTGGCAAAACACCCATACGCAGAAAATAAATATTTTTTAAATTCTTAAGAAGGG